TAACATAAACCAATGTAAAAAATGTTGTCCAAAATAACCCAATAACAAAATATATTCATATATTCATACGAATCTATCCTAAAAATGTTGTCGGCATTAAATAAACCATTGAGATTGATATGCCGTTAAACAAAATAAACCAAACCAATCTAAACCAAAGAATAACATATTATATTCATACGAATCTATCCTAAAAATGTTGTCTGCGTTAAATAACCCATTGAGGTTGATATGCCGTTAAACAAAATAAACCAATCCAATCTAAACCAAAGAATAACATATTATATTCATACGAATCTATCCTAAAAATGATGTCTGCGTTAAATAACCCATTGAGGTTGATATGCCGTAAAACAAAATAAACCAAACCAATCTAAACCAAAGAATAACATATTATATTCATACGAATCTATCCTAAAAATGATGTCTGCGTTAAATAACCCATTGAGGTTGATATGCCGTAAAACAAAATAAACCAACCAATCTAAAGCAAAGAATACATATTCTATTCGTACGAATCTATCCTAAAAATGTTGTTAGCATTAAATAACCCATTGACGTTGATATGCCGTAAAACAAAATAAACCAAACAATTCTAAACCAAAGAATACATGTTCTATTCATACGAATCTATCCTAAAAATGTTGTCAGCATTAAATAATCCATTGAGGTTGATATGCCGTTAAACAAAATAAACCAAACCAATCTAAACCAAAGAATAACATATTATATTCATACGAATCTATCTTAAAAATGTTGTCAGCATTAAATAACCCATTGACGTTGATATGCCTTTAAACAAAATAAACCAAACCAATCTAAACCAAAGAATCACATATTATATTCATACGAATCTATCCTAAAATGTTGTCAGCATTAAATAACCCATTGACGTTGATATGCTGTTAAACAAAATAAACCAAATCAATCCTAACCAAAGAATACATATTCTATTCATACGAATCTATCCTAAAATGCTGTCGGCATCAAAAAAACGTATTGAGGTTGATATGCCGTTAAACAAAATAAACCAAACCAATCTAAACCAAAGAATACATATTCTATTCATACAAATCTATCCTAAAAATGCTGTCTGCGTTAAATAACCCATTGAGTTTGATATGCCGTAAAAACAAAATAAACCAAACCAATCTAAACCAAAGAATACATATTCTATTCATACGAATCTATCCTAAAATGTTGTCGGCATTAAATAACCCATTGAGGTTGATATGCCGTAAAACAAAATAAACCAAACCAAACCCAATCAAATCTTTTATTGAATGCATCATATATTCCTCGTTTCGCACATTCATCGTAGGTGTTCAGCACTTGATCTAGTTTTGCATGTATGACTTGAGTCGATAAAGTTGAGAAATTTATTTCCTTTTGCCATAAATTTGTTACTTCTTCAGTGATTTCCTTTATATGTTTTCTCCTTCCTGTGATGGCGGCTCCAAGGAACAGATAGCGACCAATAATTTGGATTTTGAATGGTATTCTGCTTTTGTTATTCCAGTGATTGTTCCTCTAGAAGAGCAGTTCTTCTTTTATGTGATTCTTGAAATCTTATGAGATTCTTCGTCCAGATTTTGTTTCATTCAGTAGCAGAAGCACTTTTTATGAGACATTACGGATAAAAATGAATGCTTTACTTATGAGACATTATGGTAAAAAGTAAATACTTTTATGAGACATTATGGTTAAAATAAATAATTTCTTATCAGATAGTGTGGTTAAAAATGAATACTTTTTATGAGACGTTGTTAAAAATGAATATTTTACTTATGAGACATTATGGCTAAAAATGAATACTTTTATGAGACCTTATGTTTAAAATGAATACTGTTTTATGCGACATTGTGGTTAAAAATTAATGCTTTTTGAGACATTATGACTCAAAATTAATATCTTTATGAAACACGGTTAAAATGTATACTTTTATGAGATGTTATTGTTAAAAATGAATACTTTCTTATGAAACAGAGTGGCTAATATGTATACTTTTCCATAAGACATTATGGTTAAAATGAATACTTTTTATGAGATGTTATTGTCAAAATGAATACTTGTTTTATGATATTTTCCATAAGATTAAAAATGAATACTTTTTATGAGACATTATGGTTAAAAAATGTTATGATATATTATGATTAAAAATGATTAACTTTTATGAGACATTATGGTTAAAAATAAATACTAGGAGATTTTTCAGCAAATCAATCAGTTTTGCTCAATCAAAAAACTTATATAGTCTGAAACAAAAAAATATTTGATTACAAACGCAACATACTTTTCCTGTTCGCCATATCTAAATGACAACCCCCACCAGCGCTCACGCATATATATTCCCACAAAATATAAGTCAGAAATTTCTAGAAGGATCCATAAAAATTTTAGAAGATTCCATAAAGTTTTTGAAGGTTACAGAAAGTTCTAAAACGATCCAAATGTGAGAAGTACGAAACTGTTAGCATTACGGTTCCATCTAGTCATTTCAACTGTAAACTGATGAGACCTTTCCGCCAATCTAGTACTGCGATTAAATTCAGAAGCACCAGGTGGGAGAATTGTTCTATATAAATTTATAAGGGGAAGAGAGATAGGGGAAGGCACCGAGCCATTTACCTGATGAGTTTGTGTGTGTGACTAGTGGAACGGGTGAAGGCTTCGCAAAAGAAGAAAATATTAAGAGCCACAGGGGATAGAAATTTGTGGAGAGACACGATCACCTATTCCCTAAAAGAAGAAGACGTGCTTCAAACATTGTGATATGGACGTACGCCCGGCTTTGATTTAATCACAGTAAGGGTCAGTACAGTTAATCCTAGAGGTAAGCAGTTACTGGTAATTCTACAGAAAACGAGAAACTAACATTAGTTTGTTTTTATATCATTTCACCCCAAGGAAGACAATAAAGCCACTAAGACGCAATGAGTTACTGAGTGTGAAAGAATATGAGAAAAACTATTATTAAGACGAGAGGACAAGTGTTAAGAAGGCAGAAGATAGCGATTGACATTGAATTTAAATTTTTGAACATTATAGTTTACTGGGAAGCAAGTAGACGAAAGAGAGGTCCACAAGCGAGAAGTACGAAAGAAGAAACTGTTAGCATAGAACTTACGGTTCCATCTAGCCATTTCAACTGTAAAATGATGAAACCTTGCCACCAATATAGTACTGCTCTTAAATTCATAAAGTCTATGTACCATAGTGAAATGAATAATTAGCATGAAATTATTTAAAGGAAAGGCACAGGAAAGCTACATTATGGTGGTAGGAAATTGACTGAAGCCGAGACGCCAATAAGTGTATCTTATGTGAGAGAAGAAACTGTTAACATAGAACTTACGGTTACATCTAGCCATTTCAAGTATAAAATGATGAGCCCTTGTTGTCAATCTTTAATTCATTGGTACTAAAGAGAAAGTTCATCACAACTTTTACCAAGAAAAGGCTGAAAAGGCACAGTTGTGAGCCACGGTTGTGAGGAGGTGCCAGGAGCCGAAACATATCAAACTGTTTAAAAATGCCTCCTATTGAAAAACGATATGAATTTTTGTTCCAACCCAATAGATTTCTGCTGCATACTGGTTAAACTGTAGAACGATGCGATATCCAGCAGTCATTTTTTATGACGGGCAATATATTAATTTTTATTTTTATTTTTTTTGTTTTCCTAGAATTTTTCAATTTTTCCGTTTGATGAATGTAAGGGAGTGTCAAAATTGTCCTTAGTATCTATTGTTCCAAGCGCTTTTGGTGACCTCTTTAGGAATTTTTAATGGGTTTATTGTTAAGTGTAATTAATTTCTGTCCGGCTGTAGTTGTGTGATACCTATATAGTAGTATCGTTTATTCTGTGTCCCGTGTAATTTGAGGTCATTCTATTAAAAAAATACCACATTATTTCCGTTGTTAAATAAGGTGAGATTAATACTGAGTGCCAGATGTTTTATATAGAGTGCTTCTCTCATAGCGAGATGTTTTCGGTTACGGGATTTATGAATAATGACCGTATATATATATATATATATATATATATAATGTATATATCTGTGTGTGTCTGCATACACACACACACACACACACATATATATATATATATATATATATATATATATACACTTTAGAGAAGTATTTTCAGAATAAAGGGAGACATCACAGTCATCCATTTTTATTTAATAATAAATGAATTTTTCCGTTCTACATTTCAAAATCGATTGTCATTTCGACATATTTGGCCGACCTAAGAACATCGAATTTATAACCTGTGTTTATTTTTAGCAAAAACAAGTTTGATTAATAACTCCTATACGAACGGCACAGACAACAGTTGGCAGCCATTTTTAACCGAGAGTTGAAATGTTTAAGGCCACCTCTCCAACTTTGGTTCTATTTTCTCTTCGTTATTTCTTTTCAGAATTTTTCTCTTTCATTTTGATTGTTTCTTTCATTTTGATTTTTTCCTTCATTTTGATTTATTCTTTCATTTTGCTTTTTTCTTTCATTTTGATTTTTTCTTTTATTTTGATTTTTTCCGTCATTTTGATTTTTTTCTTTCATTTTACTTTTTTCTTTCATTTTGATTTTTTCCTTAATTTTGATTTTTTTCTTTCATTTTGCTTTTCTCTTTCATTTAGATTTTTTATTTTGATTTTTCTTTCATTTTGACTTTTTTCTTTCATTTTGATTTTTTCTTTCATTTTGCTTTTTTTCTTTCATTTTGATTTTTTCCTTCATTTTGATTTTTTCCTTCATTTTGATTTTTTCCTTCATTTTGACTTTTTTCTTTATTTTGACTTTTTTCTTTCATTTTGACTTTTTCTTTATTTTGATTTTCTCTTTCATTTTAATTTTTTCTTTCATTTCGATTTTTTCCTTCATTTTGATTTTCTTTCATTTTAATTTTTCTTTCATTTCGATTTTTTCCTTCATTTTGATTTTCTCTTTCATTTCGATTTTTTCTTTCATTTTGATTTTTCTTTGATTACCAGCTGATACGTTTTTCTTTTTTTTACCCCTCATCATTTTCGTTTATGTTTTCTTATTTTTCATATTTCTATCTTTTTATTTTGTATTTCATTATTTCCTTCTATTTTCCTTCTATTTTTCTTCTACTCCTCTTTCTACTTCTCTTTCTACTTTTCTTCAATTCTCCCAACTTCGTAGCGTTCTTATTTTTCTTTCATCATTTTATTGTCTGCTTTATTCCTGTCCTCTTCCATATCGACCTTTTGACCCTCTGCTGCTTAGCCTCGACATTTTTAGAGATTTAAAAAAAAAATTATATCATTCTTCGCTTCTTTTTTCTCTTCTTTTTCTTTTCCTTCTCTTCCTCAAATGCCTTTGTTTCTATTTTTTTCTTTTCCTCTCGTCTGATTTTTTCTTCTCTCTTTTTTTCTCTTATGTTCCCTTTTTTTTCTTCATTCTTCTCTTTTTGCTTTTTTCCTCCTTACTTTCGCTTTCTTCTTTCTCTTCTTTGTCTCCTTTTCTTTTCTTCTTTTTCAGTTAAACTTGACCTTTCTCTTTTTTTTGCTTTGCTTCAACTTCGTCGTTCGTTCTTTTACTTGTCGTCTTGTATATACGGCTGTTTTAACCGTTCCTTGCTTTTCTTCTTCCCATTGTTCTTTTCATCCTTCTTCTTCCTCATCACCTTTCTCTTCTTCTTTATCTTCTCCCTCTTCTTATTTTTGCTATTATTGTTATTATTATTGCTGATGTTGTTGTCGCTGCTGCTGATGTTCGCCCAACTTCCTTTTCTCTTGGCCTTTTTTTTTTTTCGACTTCATTTTCCTTTCAAATTATTGCCCGCTAGAAAGAAGATCAAATTTGTAGACAATGTCTAATTTGAACAAAGCGAATCAACATGTTTCCCGTTCTCTCGTCTAAACCTTTCTCGCTTTTTCTATCAACGCCGACGAACCGCCGGAGACTTCAGCAACAATGGGGAAGGAGGTGAGAAAGCCTCTATGGAACAAGGTAAATTGCCGCCGTAAAAATGAAAGAATGAAGCTACCTCGTTCTTTTGATTAGAAAAATGACGGCCAGTCGAATTTTCAGAGAAATAATTTGAGCATTTCCCTCTTGAAGCATCATAAGATGAAGAAATATACTTCGTTGCAAGCATGTGACAATGGATGGTGCTGGTGTGAGAGCGTTTAAACTTGCCTCGACTGATACGACTCTTTCTCGGCACTGATGTCGTTACCGAGTCGCAAACCAGGTCATTTTAAATGTTAGCATAGGTGTAAAATCACCTACAGTAACAAGAGAGGTAGAATGTCTGTGACTACGTCCTGGGTTCAAATTCAACAAATATCAATGGCGTGTTTATACAAGTTTTGTTGAATTTAACGCACCGAAAATGAAATAAGAAAATCAAATCGAAAGAGAGAAAAAAAATCTAAAAGAAATAACGAGAAAATGAAACCAAATTAGGAGAAGTTGACTTAAACCTTTCATCTCTAGGTTAAAAATGGCTGCCAACTGATTTAAGATTTTTTAACATAAGTTTTTTCTTTTTTCTCGTTGCCTTCTCAGCAGACTTATTCAACCTATAAAGTGATGCAATTCTATAAGAATTAGAAGTCCTGCCAGGATTCATTGTTGTAATCTTTCGATAACTTAATGGATAGCTGTTCAGATTGAGTAATCAGAGGCCTGGGTTCGAATTCCAATCGAGTTAGCTACATTCACTTACATGCAAATACCCTTCGGAAAAGTATGAATCCATCTCTTCTCAACCCCGATCTATGGATAAATAGCAGGACAGGCTGGATCATAGAGCCTTGAGTGGCAACCGGTCTATGAGAAGGACAACTCTGAATTCCGAACCTCCAATTATTGGTTAATTAGCATCACCAACCCGCAATTGGCTAAACGTGGCAAGTACGGCTACACTTCGTGGTTTACGACCATATTACGTTGAAACACCTGGTCCTGTACGATCACCGAAGTTAAGCAACACTGAGTCTGGTCAGTACCTAGAGGGTGACCGCTTGGGAATACCAGCTGTTGTAAGCTTGGATAAGCGTGTGGTATAAAGTGCTTATGGCCATATTACTTTGAAACACGAATTCCCGTACGATCCCGTATCTAGCTATTTATCTATCAATTACAGTCTCTTCATTATCTATCGATGTATCTATCTTTCTTCTAGTTAAAACTACCTACTCATCTATCTATCTATCTAGCTGCTCCTTTCAAATCAAACTTATCTATCTATCTATTACAGTCTCTTCATTATCTATCTATCTATCTATCTTTTTTCTAGTTAAACATACCTACCTATCTACCTATTTATCTATCTAGCTAGCTGGTCCTTTCTAATCAAACCTATCTATTACAGTCTCTTCATTATATATCGATCTATCTATCTTTCTTCTAGTTAAAACTACCTACCCATCTATCTATCTAGCTAGCTAGCTAGCTGCTCCTTTCAAATCAAACTTATCTATCTATCTATTACAGTCTCTTCATTATCTATCTATCTATCTATCTATCTATCTATCTTTTTTCTAGTTAAACATACCTACCTATCTACCTATTTCTCTATCTAGCTAGCTGGTCCTTTCTAATCAAACCTATCTATCTATCTATCTATCTATCTATCTATCTATTACAGACTCTTCATTATCTATCTATCTATCTATCTATCTATCTATCTATCTATCTATCTATCTCTCATTCTTCTAGTTAAACCTATTTATCTACCTATTTATCTAGCTAGCTAGCTGGACCTTTCTAATCAAACCTATCTATCTATCTATCTATCATTTTTCTAGTTAAACCTACCTACCTATCTACCTATCTATCTATCTGTCTATCTATCTGCTCCTTTCTAATCAAATATATATATATATATATATGTATATATATATATATATATTCTTTTCATTTTTCGGAGAAGAAAGGATTAAACATCGATTGCAAGAAGAAAGAATGCACAGTTGTTAGTAAAAAGGAACAGCCCAACATGGAAATTAAAAATTGGAAATACCAAAATCAAACAATGACAACAATTGAAATATCTTTTTAACAGAGGACGGAAAGTGTGATATTGGAATCCGATGTTGCATTTGGATAACAAAAGGTGCTTTCGAGAAACTAAGCAGAGTATTAACAAACGGGAATTTTTTCTTTAGAAACGAAGAAAATACTAGCGAATTGTTATGCAATATCAAACCTCCTGCATGGCAGTGAATGCTAGACAATCTCCTCTCAGATGAAGGAGACTCGAAGCAACAGAAATGTCCCTTTACAGAAGGTTACCATGGACTGAACATGTGAGCAACGATGAGATTTTAGAGAAAACGGAGACAAAAGGGACAGTTATACTTAACATCAGAAAGAGAGAATTGAAATTTCTTAAGGCACATAATGAGAAAAGAGGGCTTGGAAAATTTGATACTCACAAGGCAGATTGAAGGCAAGAGGGTCAGAGGAAAACAACACATAACCTACCTAGCGAATCTATGGATGGCTGAACAGGGTAGGAGAAATAACAAAAATGCAAGATTTATTAAGAGCTGCCATTTTTTTTAATCAGTATCACTCCATGTAAGGTAGCAAAGCCACTATGACACAAGAGGTTGCAGTGATTTGAAGAATTAGGAAGAGAAACATTAATAACGAACGGGAAGAGAAAGAGTATTCAGGAGGACAGAAAATTGTGGAGAGCCATGATCGTCAACGTCCTGAAGGGACAGGGCACATAAAAGAAGAAAAACGTTCAGAAAACTGATAAGTGAGTTGTAAGAAGATATATATATATAAATAGATAGAAATATTGTGTTGGCCAAAATGTTAGTCTTGCTTTTGTCATGAGATGACATTAGGAATATTTAGTTTTCTTCTTGTATGTGAATCAGATCAGGACGACACGAAGAAAAAGACGAAGAAGAAAGAGTAGGAGGAGGAGCAGAGAAGAAGAAGGAGGAAGAGGGGGAGAAGAAAAAGAATTAAAAGGGGGACGACGAGGAAAAGAAGGGGGGGAGGGGGAGAACAAGATAAAGAAGAAGAAGGAACAGAAGAAGAAGGAGGAGGAGAAGAAGAAAAAGAATTAAAAGGGGGACGATGACAAAAAGAAGAAGAAGAAGAATGAATGAATGAATGAGGAAGAGGAGAAGAAGAAGAAAGAGAAGGAGGATGAGAAGAAGAAGAAGAAGAAGAAGAAGAAGAAGAAGAAGAAGAAGAAGAAGAAGAAGAAGATGGAGGAGGAGAAAAGAAAGTAAAAGGAGGACGACGACGACGAGAAGAATGAGAAGAAGGACAATAACAACAACAACGAGGAAGGCGACAATAACAACAACAACAACAACAAGGTAGGCGGGAGATGAAGAAGAAGTAGGAGGAGGAGAACAAGAAGAAGAAGGAGGAGCAGAAGAAGAAGAAGGAGTAGGAGGAGGATAAGAAGGAAAAGAATTAAAAGGGGGACGACGACAAGAAGAAGAAGAAGAATGAATGAATGAGGAAGAGGAGAAGAAGAAGAAAAAGAAGTAAAAGGGGACGACGACGAGAAGGAGGAGGAGGAAGTGGAGAAGAAGAAGAAAAAGAAGTAAAAGGGGACGACGACGAGAAGGAGGAGGAGGAAGTGGAGAAGAAGAAGATGGGGGAGGAGAAAAGAAAGTAAAAGGAGGAGGAGGACGACGACAAGAAGGAGAAGGACAATAACAACAACAACGAGGAAGGCGACAATAAGAACAAGAACAACAACAACAACAAGGTAGGCGGGGGAGAAGAAGAAAAAGTAGGAGGAGGAGGAGGAGGAGGACAAGAAGAAGAAGAAGAAGTCAGTAAATATTTATAATCTTATCTGTCGGTAAGGAAAATCAAGTTTTCGATTTCTATTAGATGTTTAAGGTGATTTAAACCTTTTCAAATGAATGTTCCTGTGTAGTCATTTGAGCTCTAAAAAGATCATCAAAGAAAAAAACAAGCCAAATTATGACAATGCCGAAACCAACCGTTCCCATGCGGGAAATATTGTCTAGTTTTACTCTCGATTGAAATTATTCAAATTTTTCTCTTGAAAGAGGTTTTTTTTCCAGGAAAACGAACTTTTCATGTGCATTGTAATCGCTAGTTCTTGTGTTAATGGATGTTTACTTCCTGAATTTTTATTTAATGTAT